AAAGACGCCAAGACCGGTGCAATAACGGCGACCCGATCCCGTCTCTGGCGATTCTAGGACTCGTTAGGACCCAGGCCGAGTCTGACCCGTCTATTTTTAGGGAAACGGGGTGGGTGAATTGACAACCGAATATCGATGATTAGAATTGATCCCGTCGTCGAGCGATGGTTGATAATTGACAGACAACACATGTTGTAGTGGGCGGATAAGCGTCAGGGATAATGCCTGAACGTAGGCAAGCATAATCGGTGTGCCATATTGTTTAGGAATATAAATCGTAACGGAGGTCCTTGAGGATATTATCTCTACATTACGAGGATTCACCACCAGTGAAATTACTACTGTTAAACCCTCGGTCCCGGGCAACTCCGGGGAGCTGCAGTATCCGGCGGCCACCTCGTCGACTCGCAGGTCCTGTGGGCTTCCGTGATGCTTCAGTGCTTCACCGAGAGGCACGGATAGAGCAGTAGGATGTGGGGTGAGGTGTCTGTACGGCGTACGCCTCTTCATTGTAGGTACGACGCATACAGCGCCCAGTCCCGCCGAAGCTCGATAATCGACCGTGACATATTCTTAACTGGCGGATCGAAGCGGTCTTGATCACATCGGGGGGCATATACCCTAAAAAAGGTTTCTGTGAATTTAAAAAAAAACATCGGATTTCGATTCCTTGCGCACTACTGTGCAGTTCGATCAATAAACTTTTCCTCATAAAAGTTGTGAAGTTTTCGTTTTATTCTCGAAAAACGATTTCGGACGCTGCCCCGGATGTGGGCCTGTGGGGGACAACATTTGTCCCAAATACCTTCCCTTGCAATCGCCAGCGGGCTGCCCCACCCTGAGCTTGACTAATAACGTCTTAAAATCCCACCAGAGAGCCGAATCCGATAACTCATCTCTGTCTGCCCGTCTAAATTACTACGCACCGTACGGCGCCCGGCCCCGTCGGAGCACTGAACCGACCGTGATATTTTTGGTTTTCCCCCATCCCAAGCTCCATTAGAAACGTTCTCTCTCCCCATCCAATTGCTCATGATGTCATTTCAAATTCAATACCTACCTCATCTCTGTCTGCCCGCCCATTCATTGCACACCTTACGGTGCCCGGCCCCGCCCGAAGGATCCTAGCGCGCTGAGTGGTTGCCTCCAGCCGCGTCATCGCGAGGCCCACCGGGGCCCGCAAATGAATACATTGCGTGAATAGCCGTGTCGCCCCCCTGATCCCAGGGGGTGCTTCTCTAGCATCTCGCGAATGGAAGCTTCGAATTCTTGCGTAGAAAAGCATGTGTAGGTACGTTTTCCAAGCCGCATCACTCTCCTCGCGGCTTACGCAAAGCAGTTTGTGTCTCAGACGTAAGTTAAGCACCCCTGGAGCACTATTGCACGGTGACTTTTGAATTTCAGGGGGTGCTCGAGCACCCCCAAAACCCCTAATTCTCCACCCCTGATCTCAGTAACTCCGCAGATCCATCTTCTGTTTTCCATTTTCAGTTTTCAATTGAAATATAAGTTCCATCTGGGAGACACATGTTGCATCATTATGTTTAAACAATTATTATGCTTGAACTTTTGATTTTTCATGTGAACTTCACTTCAAAAGTTGATTCAATTTTTAAAGTTGATATAATTTGTATACAGGGTGTCCGGAAAGTTCTGGCGCCTCTTTTGGACGTCGTCTAACGCGCGCTGTGATTATTGGACTTTCAACCAATCACCGCAGATATGACCCCTCGTTCACCGCTCAGCTAGGGGTCGCGTAAATATGACCTTGAAACCGTTTTCAGTGCTAGGTATAAGGGCGAAGATGCGCCTTGTCGCTGAGAGCCCGCGCGCGGGGGCCCGGTGCGGCTTGAACGAGGCGCGAGTTGCAACGCGATGCGGCGTTTCCCGGCGAACGGTTGAGCAGGCAAAGGTGCACTCCAGATCGGAAATGTCTTAGAAAATATTCTCACTCAGCTACAACCACTGTATGCCAAAGCTGCTGAGACTGAAGCAGCATTTCAGCGGCAATCGAAGAAAATCTTGGGTCTGATGGACACAAATGTCCCATCATCTTCGTCAAGGTCAAATAAATGACTGATAGGCTGGTCCACGAGGGGTTCCTGGACACGACAATCAAGGCGACTTGCCCTAAGGGTCATGTCGCACTTCAACAGCACGGAGCGCCCTCCAACAACGCCGCTGCCGTCCAAACCAAACTGACAGAGGAGCTCGGCGGACCAGATCACCGAGGTGAAATGAGATTAGGCCACCTTATTATCACAGCCTTAACCCGCTCGACTAAGGCATGCTACGCGTTTTGCAGAATAAGCTCTAGGCCACCTCTCATCCCAGCCTGGAGTCCCTGAACACCCGCATCATGACAGCATGGGAGGACAGGAAATGTCCTGCACCGTCAAATCCCGCAGGCGTTTCCGCCCTTGCGTCGAGTCCGTCGTCGGCACAGACGGTGGTTACAATGAATGGGCACTTGGCAAAAGGATGTGGCTTGGTGTTCCTGGTTATTGTTTCGTTCTATTGTTGAGTATCTATGGACCAAAGGCATTTATTTTAAAAATGTTGAAAAGCGCCAGGACTTTCCGGACACCCTGTAATGCTACGATCACGGCGCACTAAATCACAGATAACTTGAAAATAACCAAGTTAAAGCCACATTCTTCAGCAAACTCTGAGAGCTATCTGATCCATGCTGCGTTGAAATAATTGAAAATCGCCAAAATCAGTCAAAATATGACAATTAAATTAATATTAACTTCACAAAACGCTGATTTGTGAGGCAATGCGCAACAGAAATGCGAGGGAATATGGTAGTAATCTGGTAGCAATTATGAAGGATTTCCCCTGTCGCTGATGAAAAAACACTTGGAACAAATTTTTCAACGCAGAGGAAATCCTTCATTATGAGTTGCAGGGACCATTTGATTGGCCCATTTTAGATAAATATAGGCCGAATGTTTCGATTTCAACCCTATTTATCGTAATGAGACGAATCCATTGGCTTAGTGGTACGTCTTTTGAACACATGTAGGCCTTAGATTTCTCCTTAGCCCGCCTGAAACACACCATGCTTTGCATGCATTTCTATGGGTGAAGGAAAATTCATGCGCCGTGATGACGTCACGGTAAAGGAATTCTGAAGCTCGTGAACGGGGGCTGGTTATTAGGTGATAAATTTTAGGTTATAATATGTTAACCCGCGCCCCGTAGGGGGGGGGGCCGAAACGCCCCCCCCCCTGTCCTTTTCGGTCGATATCTCCTAAACCGCTTCAGATATCGCCACCAAACTTTCAGGACCCCTCCGGGCATCAATTTTACACATTGTGACCAAAAATTTTTCCAGAGGCTATGATAGGTTGGCCACAAATGACGTCAGAATGACGTCATGTTCTGTCATTTTCGACCGAATAGAGACCTTCGCGAGAAGACCTGTCAGGCTTACAGCTTTGAAGATACAGAAAAATGACCAGACATAAAAGGTGTAGAATTGACAGGGCTACAAAACTGCTATCTCGGATTTTTGAAATTGTTGAGTTTTGAACCCCAAAAATCAAAAAAAAAACTTTTTTTGGATATATTAGCCAAAAAATCCAAAAAGTTTTTTGAGTTAAAAAAAAAACGGAATATATGTGATAGTACCTACCGTCTTATATCTACATACCGAATTTCAGATCGATACCTCGTTTTTCGGCCAAGTTATAGCGAAAAAACTGTTCAAAATTGATGACGTCAAATTTTCAAACTCAATTTTTGGCAGTTCTAGACCTCGTAGAGCAAAACAAAGACCACCATAAGACTCCCCGTGACGAGCTGCATCGAATAGATACCCATTTTATGCAAAAATATCAACTTTGAAATTTGACCTGACCTTGACCTGACCTTCACCAAAACGTGACCTTGGCTGGCCCCAAAGGCTGCCTAACCCACATAATCGCATTTGTCATGTAAAATGGACCATAAAACATGTATCACACGACACTTTCATATTGTGACCCCGGTGACCTGACCTCGCTGTGACCTGACCTGGTATCAGTGACCTCAGATAGCAAAGTATGTGTTTGACGAACAATGTACCATCGATGGTTTTCAATAAATTACCAATCAACTCGATTTCACAACACATTTCTTGAAATGCCTGTGAACGGTGAAAATCTGACCTTTGACCTGACCTGTGACGTCATCGGTTTGACCTAGGTCAATGAAATTTGGTCACAAGGTAGTTCCCGGGTGGGGCTATCGAACGCCGTTTGAATTTTGAAAATCGCCCGGTAACTTTCCGAGATCTTAGGGGGGGGGGGGCCGAAACGCCCCCCCCCCCCCTACGGGTGGTAGGGTCCGCCGGTAGCCCTACGGGGCGCGGGTTTTAAAGGTTATAGGTTATATATAGGTTTAGGGTTTTAGGTGGTAGGTTCAGTTAATTCAGGTAAGGTGTCGGTTTGGTTTGGTTGGACTGGACGACTTGGGCTTGGTTTGGTTAGAAAGAATCATCTCCAGGTATAGCAAATCTCCTTGATTGAAAAAAGGAGTGTGATGCCTGCTTCAGTTTCATTACTACCCTAGCCTTGTTATTTAGGATTTAGGAAATATCTCTGAGAGTATCTTCTCTCATGCCGTCATTTTGCCAGAGTTCAGTTTTAACTTTGAAGTCATGATCAGATAGGTATGTGTAATGCACTACCATGTTTTTTACATAAGCTATTCCTCATATTGTGACTGCACGTGCTTTATACTTATATTTGGAAGTGGTTTTGTTGGTGACACTTGGCAATAGACATGGATTCTAGCTGCCAGTGCCCAGTTAGCATACACAATTCAAAATGGCCTTATCCATTATCCATTGCATGGTCCATTCGATGGAAGACATCAATTCTGATTACTCTCTTCACTTTTGCCTTTTGCCTTCTGATTACTGTCTTATTTTTTGCTCTTCTGATCATCCCTTTTAAACCCGCTCTGTATTAGTTTTCGATCGAGACTTAGTGGCATCTGCTAGTGCTGTCTGAAATCTGCTGACGATCGTTCGACCGCCCTCTCTGTGCAGAGTGCTGAACGTCGCGCCGCCGCCGTCCCGGTGCCGCTGCCCGCTCTGCAGTCGCAGTGAGCAGCTGGCTGCGGCTGACCGGAATCGGCAGATAGTTATCGATAGTCTTTTCGACCGTCAGGCGTCAGAGCCGGTCGAGCACCGAGCGGAGCGGAGCGTCCGAGGCCGAAGGCCCAAAGGGTAAGTAATCGCTGGCCCTGGCCTGACAGTTGGCTGCCCGCAAGGATGACAATTTGTCACGACAGAGAAATTTAGAGGTTACTGACTTGCCGGCGCTTTTTTGCTATTTGCTATTGGGTGGCGAGGTCAAGGTGCGGGTGACCTGTCAAACAGCCCCGGCGCGGTGGGGCACTGCCGCAGGCAAATGGCGCACTCCAGCGTTGTTCCATATCGCGGTGGTGGGCCGGGCGGCCGGTTAGCTTGGCAGTTGGCTGCTTGGAAGGAAAGGATAATGAGGGATGGGTTTGCTGTGGCCGGCTCATCTACTGTCAACTATGGAGAACCCAAAGTAATGCAAATGTGATGTTGGTAATGCAGCTGGCAACGGAATGCTAGCGAATGCTCCGGGCGCCCAGTAGCATAAGGATTAAAGGGACCCTCCCACCTTCAAAAAAGTTTATGAATTGGCATGAAAGTGATGTCGCTCGGTTCAGAAAGAGCGAAAACGAATATCTACCAAATTTCACCGAAAAATATTCACCGGTTTTCAAGATATTAGACTTTTACTTTTGTTTACTTTTTTGGGATCTCCGCTGTTTCTAGCGACTTTATTTTAGAAGTGCGGCGTTTGCGGCAGATGTTGCGCGCAAATAGCATATACCACCGCGTGCTACAAAACGTTTTAGTCAAACATTTAAAAATCGTTAGATATCTGCGCTGACGTCACACATTCAGAGGGGTATTCCTAAGCATTAGCCCCTCTGAATCAAAATGCTGCAATTTTGAAATTCAATATTTCCGATTTAAGGGATTTCTCGATGTTGTGAGTGCCGAAACCGGTAATTGTGAGCCAGGGACCCCATTTTGGCTATCTCAACTCAAATCTAATGTTAAGGTGGGAGGGTCCCTTTAAGATTATTTAGGTCTCCTGAACGACTTCGAACACAAATTAGCAAATGAAATAAAATCCAACCCAAAGGCATTTTATGCATATGCTCGAAGCAAGACCTCAATCAAGGAAGACATCAAGATACCTATAAGAAACAGGTAGATCCGATGTTTGAAAGTAAAGCCCCAGTCACAAATTTGACGCACCTGTGACATTTCCTGACACCCACGTGACTATTGTATTAACTTTTGTGTTTTGCGATGTTTTGACCTTATTTAAAGTACTGAAAGCTCAAAATGTATGATTAATGTTGTTTAAAGCAGCATATTAATAATTATGTTTGTAAATTATCGATAAGCTGCTTATAGCAGGTCACGTGATTGCTACCAGATTATGTGCTCAGAAAGCATCTTTTCAACTTCGATTTTGAACAATTTTTACCTCCTTTGAGGCCAAATGATGGACGGTTTGAGGCACACGATGAAATGCTGAATCTATTGATGCCAAAATTTGTTCGTTTTTTGCATTTTTAGACTAGTATATCCTGGCTCAAACTTTGACCAGTTTGTGTGTAAACCCTATGGTGAAGGGAAAACTTCACGCCCAGCAGGCGTCCTTACAGTGCTGCCAAATCGTGTTTGGTGGGGGTCGGAAGACATACTGATGGTCAAGAAGCAAGATGGGAAACCGACAACGACACTAGAAGAAACATGTGAAGAGATGAATGAACAATTCCAGAAAGTATTCAACAAGACGGCTGGAGTATGTCCCCCAGGCCCTCCATTCCCTGCTGATGACAGACTTACGAGGTGTGAAATTGATGTTGATGATGTGTACAACATACTGACACAGCTGAACCCATCTGCGCCTGGCCCAGACGGGATCCATCCTGTTGTCCTAAAAAGCTGTGCTAGAAACTTGGCAGAACCGCTGTTGATCATCTTTGGGAAGTCTCTGGCAGCAGGAAAGCTCCCCAGTGACTGGACAAAGGCCAGCGTGACACCGATTCACAAGAAAGGGAGACGCACCGAGCCACTCAACTACAGTCCAATAAGCTTGACATCCGTCCCCTGCAAGGTGTTGGAGAGGCTGTTGAAGACAAGAATAGTGGAACACCTCGAACAACACAATATTATCACTCAGAACCAGCATGGCTTCAGGTCCAGGAGATCCTGTGTCACTCAACTTCTTGAGTATATGTTTGACCTGGAGAATGACCTCGATGATGGCTACTGCGTTGACGCTGTGTACCTGGATTGTCAAAAAGCGTTTGACTCGGTCCCACATCCGCAACTGCTTGTCAAGCTCAGGAGTGCTGGCATCGATGGAGAGATCCTGCAGTGGATTGATGACTTCCTGATGACTCGCAAGCAGAGAGTATGCATTCGGGGCCATTGCTCTGGATGGAGAGCAGTGTGGAGCGGCGTCCCCCAAGGCAGCGTTCTCGGGCCAGTACTGTTCCTGGTGTACATTAACGACCTTCTGGATGACCTACAATCACCAGGGAAATTGTTTGCAGATGATGCGAAAATCTACACTGTACAGCAGTACAGTGAATGGAGTGTTTTGTTTTTCTAGCATTGCCCTGCCATGTTTTTCCTTCCACAGCCAAACGCAACAAGTTGCGGTCAACGGGCATTGGAGGTGACACGAACGGCCTAACCGACTTAGACGAGGTGGCGCTGAGCTTGGACGACGGCAGTGAGTAATTTAATACCGTTCATTTCAATGTCTGGTCACATAGTCGGGTCAAACGTCACCCATTGCGGAATGTTTACTAGTAGTGGCCCAACCGTACAAATAATTGCCGTTGATATATGGAAAACTGCCTAGCACTCGTACGTAGGAGGTGCTGGGACAAATCGCTTTTCTTTAACCAAAATGTGTTCTTTTCAGCTTACGACTATGTGGTACCGGGCGCGCTCTGCAGTCTCTCGGCCAGGACCCGAAACCAGCTGAGGGCGGCAGCGGAGCTCTGACACCGGAGACGTGGGCGGAGGCCAAAGATAATGTGATCTTCGTAGAAGAAGAGACATCCCAGCCTCTCTCGCAGTTACCCACCTCCATCCTCTCCCAGCCCTCTACCTCTGAGCTCTCCTCCCAGCCCTCCCAGCCCACCGCCTCCCAGCCCTCCCAGACGGCCGCCTCCCACCCCTCCCAGCCCACCGACTCCCACCCCTCCCAGACGGCCGCCTCCCTCCCATCCCAGCCCCAGACGGCCGCCTCCCTCCCCTCCCAGCCAGCCCAGCTCATCCGGGCGGAACGCGGAGCCGCCCGCGACGCGACTGTCCCTCCCCGCACACTGGCGGCATTTATTGCCGAGCGGAGGGGAGTGAGCCAGCGCCGTAGACTTCTCTTATCTGCCCCGCTCGAGTGCCTCCGAACCGAGGAACTGACCGAAGTCGCAGAATATTATCGGGCTCTAACATATAGAAACATGTCGATGCAGTGAGAGCACTGACGATATTATTTCATGCAAAATGCAAAGAGTAGTAGTAGTACAGCACTATATCAGATTGTGCTCATGTTGCTCAAAAAGCGTTGTTCTTGTATGTTCTCTGCCGACTGTTTGTTGTGGTGATATTGGACGCTGGAATGCACAAAACGTGGGGGACAATGCATTCATCTGCTTGCCACTGTACCTCATTTTGAAAGGTGAGCTTGTGGTCTACCGAATCAATGGCACGGGCGCGTCTCAAAGTACCGTGTGCAACATCACTTGATGTATTCGTAATACCTGAAACATCACTAACATTTTCATATCACATGAAAAACATAACTTTACATGTATAGAACGGTTTCCTAGCACCAGTTTTATTGCTTCAATGAATGCTTTCAAGAACACTTCAGCTCCCTTTTTTAGGCATGACACGTAAAAAAAACTAAAACACAGTAATGCAATGCATCAACTTGTCGTTCGATTCAAAGTCAGAGCGTGTATGGTAATGTCGTTGGAGTAGAAATTTAGGGTGCGTTCGTTGAGCAGATTTCACGTGGAATCGGCAATCAAGGCGTTCTTTGCCTATTCCACGCGGAATTTCCCGTGAAATCCCGCGAAATTTCACGTGAAATAAGGGATTCGGAAAAGCTTGTCCCGAGCGCTATTTACAAGATGGCGACGTCCACTGGAGGAGGCAACATGCATGTGTAAGCATGATATGTACGGGTTTTGAGGCCATAGGATTCGTTTTACCTGTATTGATACAATACAAATTCAGTTTTCTTTATTTTTGGGCTACACTGAAGTAAGAAAAATTAAAACCAATGCGTTGTCTGGTATTCCTTGTTAACTGGCTTCCACTCACACTTTCTAGTGATCTCATATTCATTTTCAGCAAAGCCTTTTTGTAATTGTCCAAATTGGTAGTGCTTAGAAGTATAATCAAGAAACTGCACCTGTTAATTGGATGTTGCTTTGGATAGGGAGGTATATCCCAACATACCTATTGGTTCAATGTTGATGTCTTGTCATCATGGTGCTCGGCGCTTGCACCTTATATAGGTAGCCAGGTACATTGTGTTAACCCGCGCCCGGCTGGGGGTCCTGGATTTCCACGCCCTGCTGGGGGGGGGGGGTGTTTGAACACCCCCCCCCCCTTCTAACTCGGCTCCTGGGCCACGTAGCGACACGCAGAAGGCGGCGTTCGAAAGAGCGTCAAAAATAATGAGGAAATCACTTCGGTCAATTTTTTGGTCAGGTCAAAGGTCAGGTCACCAGAGGTCATTGAAGGCAAAATTTTGCCGATTTCAAGGTCGAATGTCGACAATTTCCAAGAAGCCAACGCACAACTCGGGAACCAATAGAGCTACAGCGCCGCGGAAAAGCGCATTCGATAGCCCTATTAACGTCCTTTCTGAGTAATTTTCTCAGATTTGACCTAACGTCAACGGTTTTGCCTGCAGGGGGCAAAAACTGCAAAAATAGCCGATTTTTTCGGAAACAGTTTTTCTGCAATAACTTTTGACTCAAGCCTTGTACGAGCTTACTTTTACCGGCATCGTGTTCCTCTCGTCAAGACGCATCGAATGAACTATAACTTGACCTTGAAAGGTCAACTTGAAAATTTGACCTCAGGTCAAGGTCATGACCTGACCGGAAAGGGTCATGTTGCATATCAGTCGATCCGTATCGTCGAGCTGAACACATCTAAGGCGTTTTCATCGCTCTAGCATGCCTCTATCAAAAGTTATTTGCGAAAAACTGTTAGATACTATTCGTGACCTAAGATGACCTCAGGGCATAAACAGGGGTCACGGACACCATTTTCATGTTCAGTGTGTCTAAACCACTTGTAATTCAGTGTTTGGGAGTGTTTATAATGTCTTTCGTCCAAAAGAGGCGCATTTCAATTTTCTCCCATTGACTTTATTGGGGAGGTCGCAAAATTGACCTGACCTTAGGTCATCGATATCAAAATTCTGAGATATACATTTTGTACATACTATTGCTCTTAGCAATCGCTGAAAGTTTCAAAGCGATCGGTCACTCGGTGTAGCTATGACAGACATTGAAACTTTTTATGAGGTGAGGTCACTTCAAGTGACCTGGTGACCTGACCTTGAATGACCTTGGTCTGAAATTTTTACAACATGTGTAGAATTGATGTATCATAAGGTATACCAAAAACGGCGGCGCTCCGCGCCGCCGTTTTTGAGATATTCGCGAAAAACCACAGGGGGGGTGTTCAAACACCCCCCCCCCAGCAGGGCGCGGGTTAAGTGATTGTCAGATTTTTTCAGAACACTTGTCAGTGTTAAATATACCACCTTACACAAGCTAAAAAATGTGAACAGTGAACACATGCCTAGCATCTATATTTTACAGCCTGTTCAGGCAATAAACCCAGTAAATATAGCATAAAAACAACCCCAGAAAATCCACCAAAATTTAGGATTTGTTTTAACAGACATTTCTCTCTGCCAGGACAATGTGGCTCTGCGAAGCGTGTGATGGATTGTTTCAAACTATGGAGGAGAGTCCCAACTGCCCAAACCACAGTGGACCAATGATAAGTATGCAAGGAGGAGAGGTGTCTGAGGATCACAATGCTACTGTCTCAAGTGTAAACCCGGGTACAGTAGCTTTGCTGGTAGATGCCTGCAATGAAGCCAAGGTGAACAGTGCAGTGGACTCAACAGCAAAAGCAGAAACAGTGGGAGGAAGTCAAGCTGGACTTTGAAGAACAGGGATACTTGGTCCCAGATTGGGAGTTCTTGCTCAAGAAATGGTACAGGCTAGTTAACAAGTACAAAGAAGTAAAAGACAAAATGTCAAGGAGTGGCTCAGAAGCTGTTTCTTGGGAATGGTTTGATGCCATGGAGAAAGTGATGGGAAGGGATCCAAATGTGGCACGTCTTTCCACTGTGCCGCACAGTGTCCAGCCACTACAGCCTACAGGTAACCCAGGTAGATCCACAACTTGTCTCCACTTCCAGCCCCAGCAGCAGCAGCACGAGCAGCAGGGGGTGTAACTGCAAGATTCATCGGCTGGCAACATCTCGCAGGAGAATAGAATAAAAAGGAAGCGTGCTGACTCAGACAACACATCCCTGCAGGATGCCTGGATAATGGAGTTTTACCGGGAAGCAAAGCTGGATGTAGCAAAGAAGAAGATGGAGCTTCTCGAACGCCTTGTCAACAAACACTGTGAATAAGCATGGGATTGGACAGCAATCTCAAGAGGGTGTGCCAAGTTAGTTTGTGTAAAGTAAGGTAGCCAGTTTGTTAGTGCCAAGCCCAGAGCTAGTCAAGATGGTTTGCACTTTTGAGAATGCACATGGGTGAACATTGTCACATAGGTACCTACCATGTTGTGACTGTCTGAGAGCTTTCTGATTCCGCATTGTGTGTAACGTGCTTTCAAAAGCTATAGGTATCAACTGATAGTTGGGGCACACATTCCGTGTTGTAAGAAGTCCTGAGAATTGAGCAATATCCATGGTGGATTTCATTGCAGCACTGCTGTGTTGTATCTCATCGCTGTGTTCAACTTTGTCTTTCAAAATGTATCTATGATCATAACTAACATGATATTCGTGATAAGCACCCCGAAAATAAACAACAGCCACCCTTTTCGACGCTGTAACAGGTACCGCGATTTTCCCGACTTTTGGCTCATTGACCTGGTACCTGGAAGGTCAACCGATGACTTAAGACCTTAAAATGAGGTATCGGGCATTGGCTTCCTCTCGTGACGGGCAACACGGTGGCTTTCTCCGCGAAGCTCTAGCTCGATCAGCGGCAAAACGGCAAGGGGCAAGGTCCAACGCCCCCCCCCCCTCCCTATAAGTTCGCGGCTGGAAAAACACCAATACGGGCGAGAGTTAAGATTAATGTGTTACTCCCTCACATTGTCCCACCAGACAGTGATAAACATACTTATCCGTGTTGGGCGTTTGAGTGCGGGGGGGGGGGGGCGCAAACACGAGTTGGGTCACTGGTCACCAGCCATTTGACAATTTGCTACTTGAATCACAGTAGCAAAATCACAGAATCACAGTGGGTACTCAGCTCTATAAATCACAAAACTCTGGCTTTTCCCGTAGTGATGGAGTATGAACAGTTTTTAAACAAATAACACTATGCAACAAAAAATGAAAGATTTTCTGTTCCTGGAAAGCGACCAAATTTTTCTCGTTCATTGGGTCCTATCATAACCGAAATGGGCATTAGTTTTGATCTGAAAATGTAGTTCTTCTGAATGCTTGAGACGAGGTGTTAGTATCACTGATGTTAGTTGTCGGACTTTCGTCCCCGTCTTGAGTTGAGATGTTAGTTTCACAACGTTTCGGCCAGTTACTTCTCCGGCCGTCGTCAGGTGTTCTTTGGCCCTTAGAAGGACCTGGATGTTGGTGGCGTTGCGCCGTACGCGTCATACCGTTCGAAAGCTCCTGTAGTCAGCGGGAATCGAACTCGGGTTTCCCCGGTGATAGTCCACGGTTCTAACCACTCCACTATCGAGGCAGACAAAGAACCCAAGGGCCAAAGAACACCTGACGACGGCCGGAGAAGTAACTGGCCGAAACGTTGTGAAACTAACATCTCAACTCAAGACGGGGACGAAAGTCCGACAACTAACATCAGTGATCTGAAAATGTGTTTCCGGTTTTCAGGGCCGATTTTGGATTTTTGGCCCCGAAATTCGGCTTTTGGCCCACCGTGTCCGATGTAATTGAGCAATCAATTCACGGTAACTTTCATCGTCTTTCCTATGCCACGTGCTTTCGAATGATACCTGGTTTTGCATACTTGCGCCTAAAAATGACGTCATAAATCTATGTTAAAGTTAGAAAATGTTAAAACTTGGATTTTTTTTACACTTTTTTCCCATTTCATTTCAAAATAGAGGAAAAACTAAAGGCCCTATCCAAATTCTGAGTCCAGTTCCTTAAAGAGCATTCAATTTCCGTTCGGAAGGTACTTTTTTAGTGCATTTTATCGGATTCCTGTGGCGTCCAGATTGAATTAACCTAAACACATACCCTAGGTCATATCACATAGCATTAACCTGATAACGTATGTTAACGCCATAGGGTCAACGAGGGGTGAACTGAGGTCATGTTGTTGACCCCTCTTGACCTCGGGTCACACGCAGGAACTTACTTTTGAGTAGTCCTGTCGCTCAGAATCTTGATC